GAGATAAGAGGGAAAGTGCAGACAGTTCTGGTAAGAACTTTTCTGGCCCTACTGAATGCTACTTTCATTCATATCCAGAGCAGGTTAATCAAATCATGCCTCCAAAAATCTTCATCTGTGGTAGCATTTTTTTAATTAACTTTATACTCATAAAATCTTGAGGGTCATGATAATTTCTTAATAATAAAGTAATATTGGGTAGCCTTTGGCTGTATTCATATACCAAGGCCTGATTTCGTTTTTCTCACATCTATTTGAGAAGAGAACTATGGTTTCAAATTTCTAAAATATTTACTGAAGAACTATAGTTTCCAAAATATTTGCAAAATATTTCCCTTCACCTTCCTTATGCTGGGAACAGAAAACAAGACTCCAGGCATGGTCTGGTCAGTGTAGGGCAGAGAGGAATGGATATGACCTCCTGGTGTGCACTTGTCTATGTGACCGCAGTCGATGCTTGCATTTGCTTTTTTTGGCAATCAAGTGACACCCAACCTTTAATCTAATTCCCTAGGTCTTTTTTATCAGGAAGTCTTAAGAAGGAAGACAAAAGGGAAACAATTGCCTTAACCAAAGCTAGGGTAGAATTACTGGCAAGTATCAACACAGTACCTCAGACTTGCAGACTTGCTTATGGGCATCTTGCAAGTCATTCCTCCCTTGCAGCCACAGGAAGTGGAGGGCATCATGTCACCCACTCAAGGGAAGGCTGCACAGAGGGTCTTGAGACTCATCCACTCAGATTCACACAGGGGCTTCAAAGGGTGCTAGGGTCTTCAGTTTTTGCATAATTTCTACCTTATGCATAATGTGTCTTTTTTTGTTTGTTTTGTTTTGTTTCTTACTTTCAAGTGACTAAAAGAAATAAGCATAGAATAAGGAAACAAGAATCTCTCTTAATAGGCTCAGTGACCCAAATGACTCTGCTAAGTTTACAGAGCAGCAGTTAACCAAAATTGATTGGTTCATGAAAAAAAAAAAAAATCAGCATGTGACTTTTCACCCCATTTACCCCAATGATTTACTAAAGGAATCAGCAGCCCCTGTTTTGCTCTGAAATCCGGAACCTGGTAAAATCCCAAGATGCACATAAAGGAAGAGGAGACCACATTGCTTCTGATGTGTTTTTCTATTAGCTCATGTGTGTTTCCTGAGGACCACACACGCCTGTGCCTTGTACCGTTGGAACCTCCATAAGCTGGAATCTCTGCCTGGCATCTGCGACTGGTCTCTGCTCATTCATGTCCACAGTGAGGCTCCCTTTCTTACTTTTCCTTTAAAAATTCTTTGCATTTCACATTTTTATTTCAAACATTACAGGGAATTTCAGTAACTATTTATCGAATGCCTATTTTGTGTTAGTCAGTGTGTTAATGGTTTTATATACATTATCTCCTTTGATTTATACAATATCAAACTGATATCATTATCCCCATTTTAGAGATAAGGAAACTGAGGCCTAGAGTGACCTCACTGACATTTTATAAACTGGTGTATTGAGTCACATGGATTCAACCCATAATAGTCTGGTCCAAAGGACAAAGCTTTTTCACTACAACATAACCATTTCTGCACTTATAAAGTACCTAAGTACCCTGTACCCTTAGGAAGAATCTTGTATGTTGTTCCAAAGGAAGACAAAGTCTATAAAGTGTTTTCCCTTGAGAAGGCAAGTTCAAACAAAAGAGAAAGGAAAACAAGTTAATGTGCAGAAAGAAATGTACGGCTGTAGACTCCCTGCTTATCAATGGGTACTACCCTAATTTGTATCACTGTATATCATCTTGTACTCTGAAATCCACTCCATCATCCACCCCTCCAAATACTGTACCCATTGATGTTTGAAATGTTTCAGTCATACTTGTCACTCACAAACTGAATTAAATCCAATTTTATTCTCACTGTGACTTTAAGAGAATGAATAAATATGTAAAGTATCCTTGATGCCTAGTTTGTCCATAAGCTGAACACAACCCCAACCCTCACCTGCATTTCACTGGCTTGTGCAGTGTTGGCTCCCATCAACTCTTTTTATTCTTTTTAGAATTTTAAATCCATTGTCAAGATTTAAAATTTGGGAAGTTTTACGTGACCCACTTGTTTGACATTCATGAAAAGCATTATTACTTGTTACTAATGAATGTCACTGTTTCCTTTAGCCAAAAAAAAATATTTTCTACCAGTTTTCTTCTCTCCCTCTCTCTTTCTCTCTTTCTCTCCCTCCCCCCCTATCTCTCTCCCTCTGACAATGAAGGGATATATCAGGTTCTGTTTATTATCCAAACCAAAGCTGGCTTCACTTGTTTTTATTACTCATCTGGCCTCTGTAGGAATTTGAGTTTGTATTTAAAAAATGTATTTTTGGTATTGTGCCTTGCATTATCAAATTAAATATGATTTTTTTAATCTGTTACTTGGAAGAGATTTTTATTCTTCGAGTGCTACTTGTATATCCCAATGCTTTGACACAGGACATCAAATTGATGCAGACAAGGTGCTATAGTGGGTAAGGGAGACGGTAGTTAGCATTGATAGACAGACTTCAGAATCTACCCTTTTCACCTTGAAAATAAAAATGGAGAGAAACAAAATCCTAGAGCAATATAGTTTCTTCAGGATTACATATGGATTTGTCTTTATTCGACTTTGACTGCTTGGAATTTGCTTTGAATTCTCTGCTTGAAAAGATACTGAATTATGAAGACTCAAATTTTATTCTGTGTCTTTGTAACATTCATAGATGTTCTTTCAAACAGAAACAAAAGTCTTATTCCTGATCCTTTGAATGGCCTCTAAATACAGGTACTCAAATAACAGAAAATGGATAGGTATTTCTTTACCTTTTTGGTTACTTGACCTGAAGGGAATGTGTGTAGGCGACTATTTCATTTATTTATAACCAAGATGAATTGATACGTTTTTCTCCAAATCTCATGAGTTGGAGGCCAAATACTAACATTTAATTTTCTACAATGTTCTTTGTAGTATGAGATCTCCGATATAGAATTATAACTGGATGCATAAAAAGATGGATTGACTTGCCTAAGACCACAGAGGTTTCGGGGACAAAGATAAGAACTAAAATGAATGTTGCCACTACCATTTTTGAGCATTTACCGTAGATCAGGCACCATGCTAAGTGACTATATGATCTCATTTAATTCTCTCAATAACTCTGTGGTATAGACTTTATCTCCATTTTAAAATTGAGGATGCTGGGGGATCTCAGAAATAAAATGATTTGCCCAACCTAACACAGCTAGGAACTGGGGACTTGGGATTCCAGAATAAATGTGTGTGCTTCTGAAGCTAAGTCCTTAAAGCATCTCATCACACTACTCCTGCCATGCCTCCCCAGTTAAGAATTTGGGGTATTATTTTCTGGTCTCTAAACTCAGAGCTGTACATGATACGTAAATGATAATGAAATGTAACATTGATTTTGAGTGTGTGTTGAGTGTTTTATTGATTTCCTTGTGACTACAGAGAGAGAACCAATATGAACCTGCTCCTTTGTGTTCTTGTTATAAAATTGCTACATTATATACTTTGCCCTGAATATTGGCCAATTCCCATGCACCAGGAAGGTGATCCATCCTGTCCTTAACTAAGGCTGTGATGGGTGGGGAGTCCAGCCCACTCTGTGCAGTTTTCAGACTACCTCATATGACTCAGTTCAGCTCATCATTTCAAGTTGGTAGCACACCTGATGGATGGAACATGGAAATGAAAATGTCCCATCATATTTTCTAGCAGGACACCTGATGTTTGGATGAGTTAAATGGAGCAAGACAACAAAGCAAAGTTCACCTTGCACACTTAAAAAGGCTTTGAAAAATTGTGGTTACTATTTCAAGACTTGCTGTAATATAACATATTTTGTATTCCCCACCCCCCGCCTTCTTTCAGAAATTTCAGTCTTTTATTAGTCATGAGTTTCAAATTACCATGTCGGAATGAAATGTTAGCACATAAAATACAGGCATCTTCAAGGCGTACAAATATATTTATATTTGTTAAATTTAGACATGGCTATTTTTGGCATGCTTGTTAAATTTAGACATGGGGTAGATATCATGTATGTGATCAAGGCCCTGCCTCTTGTGCCCTGCAAACTTAGACAAAACATCTGATATATATCTTAGACTCAGTTTCCTCATCTGTGAATGAAAATAATAGTACCTACTGTGCAAGCATGTTGTGTGGGAAAAATATCCTTATCCCCTAGTATATTTCTGGCTCAGAATAGTTATTCATTCAATACAGGTTTCTTCTCTACACTTTTCTTCTCTCAGTTAAATGATATGTCCTTACTATGAGTCCGAAAACACAGCTTTAAAAAAGGGAAAAACAATAGCTTCACCCTATTTATTTTTATTTTTATTTTTATTTTTTTTGCCAAAGGGGTGACTAGTTATCTATTTGCCTAACAAAGACAGTCATTAACTCCCAAGATCTTTAAAATATAGAGAAAAATGAAAAGCAACAAACAGGAAACTCTATAAAGACTTGTTTTTACCTAGAGTTAAAAGGTGATAAGAAACATCCCAAGCTGATTAAAACCTGTAGGCAGGTGGCTGGAACAAGTACTGGGAGTGATTTCAAGTGAGATTTGTGGTGCCCGTTTCAAGTTAGTTACTGAGATAGCCAATCTCTGTGGAAAGAGAGCTGATGTTTAATGTTACATCAACAAGGCATTGGGCAGGTGGGGTGCTGTCAGCTACAACAAGCAATAGCAAGCTCTGTAAATTACCTGTGTTTCCGGAAAGACAGGAAAAATGTAAATTCCACTGGTTTTTGGAAGGTGGCCAAGGGTTTTGTAATTGGCATTCCAGCTTTTTGCATATGCTTATGAGATGAAAAGCCTTCTGGTTTCCCCTCCCCGCCCTCACACCCTGCTGCTGCAACCACCCAAATCACCTTTGAAAAGGGAGTCTTGGTAAAAGAGCCCCTACGTTATCCACATTTTCTCTCTCTTTTCTTAAATTTATGTTTTGCAGGACAAATGATACTGGCTTTCTTTCCTTCAAAGACCACTTGCCTGTCACTCAGATAGTTATCACTGATACCAACAGATCAAACTCAGAAGCTGCTTGGAGAATTGGTCCCTTGCGTTGCTATGGAGACCGTGAGTACTAAATCGAAAGAAGCTTTCTCTCTTCATTATATAAGCACAAGATGTTTTTATTCCCTTATCCCTTTTCCCTGCAATGTCCCTCAGTCTTGAAAATTATTCACATGCCCAGTGCTTTTCTACATCCCATTCTAAAACAATGAACCATGCTTAAGGGTTTTTTCATTTGCAGGGTACTTCTGGAATGCGGTATCATTTTATACAGAAGCCTCTTACCTCCACTTTCCTACCTTCCATGCGGAGTTCAGTGCTGATATTTCCTTCTTTTTTAAAACCACGGCTCTATCGGGAGTTTTCCTAGAAAACCTTGGCATGAAAGACTTCATCCGACTTGAAATTAGCTGTAAGTGCCCTCATTTATGAATTTAACATAATGTCAACAGAAGTCCGAGTCTTATCTTTGCCACAAACAGCTAGTACTTGTGGATACTATCAAATTAATGCCTCTGGAAATCTGTAAAATTAGCCATGATAATTTCTAGTCCCTTCTAATGCTTTTTGTTTTATTATTGCCTATCAGTATGTAATCGTTCTCTCTTCAAAATAGTGCATTCTTCAAATTCTCATAGATATCTATTATAGCGTACTTTATCTGTCCATGGGTATTGCTTACCTTTGACTTTTAAGCTTCCACACCCCAGAACTTTTTCACTTCAATTTCCATGAAAAGCTTAATGTATTATTATTATGCATTCTATTCATATTTAGGATCTACTTTTTGTTGTACTTTTGCTCTGACAGCAACTTCCTGATTTATTTCCCACCATTAGGAGTGTGTGACTACAGAATTCCCATTGTTTTTCAACTACTTCACCATAAGCAGCGGTGTAGCTAAAGACTTTGACTCCAGGATATGGAGCATTGTCTAACATCCCATCTCCTATATACAAGTTATATTCAGTAATGATTATGAAGTTAAATGAAGAATAATAGAAATGTAGATGGCAAAATGTCCTAATATTGAACACCTACATGCAATAATACCAATAAAAAAATTCCAGTACAAAAAAGAAAAGACATGATGGTTCCTAATTACATTAGTCCTTTTTTTTTTCTAAATAAAAAGGACAAAAACATACCGTATATTGGTTTGTTCCAGTAATAGTCATATTAAAATTTCTGTTCCTTCAACTTTACTTCTGCAAATTTATGGATGAATTCATCAAAATCAATTGTCTTCACATATGTATGTTCAAAACAGAGTATAATCAGATTTGCCCATCTATCTTATATCGATCAAAGGATAGTTTTACTAATTTAAATTTAAAATAACTTTTTTTTCAGATTAAGCAACAGACATGTAAATTTTAGGAAAGATTTTAAACATAAAGATGAATTTGGTAGATATTCATAAAAATATTTTATTTTATAATAAATTCCAGAAATTGTGATTCTTTCCAATGATTTCTTCAGGATCAATTCTAGCAACTTTTAAATATCTCTGTAATCAATAAAAAAAAATTCACTAAAATATTTTCATCAGAAATTTCATCACAGATTACTATTCTGTTTGGTAAAATCTTATATAATTCCTAAAGTTTTGCAGTTGTGTGAGCTCTCTTTGGGTGCAATCTGTGTCACAAGCCCTGTGATAATGTGTATTCATGTGTTTCAACAGTAGATTTGAGTTAAACAAGGATAGCACAGTAATTGTAAAAATGAGAAATCAGAAGCTGAATTCTTTTTTTTCAATTAATTTTTTTTTATTATTCTTATGTTAATCCCCATACATTACATCATTAGTTTTAGATGTAGTGTTCCATGATTCATTGTTTGTGCATAACACCCAGTGCTCCATGCAGAACA